TTTAATTTAGTTCAACTAGTATTTCAAGTATGAGTGTAGGCATTGTGGGGAGGAGACAGGCAATCTTTCAGATTCAAGCTAAACTGCTGGTATTTGAACCATAGAAGCACTTACCAATTGGGTGAACATGGAGAAGTTACTTAATCCCTCTGAGCTTCAGTTTCCCCAGGAGAGATGTTGACAATAACAGCATATCACATAGGTCACTGTGATTAATAAGTGGTTTAATATCTATCATGCACCTAGAGCATTGCCTGGCTGGTGAGTAAATGTTCATGTTGTACTCTTGGGTCTGAACTTCATGAGGTACTGAAGGTGTCAGGAGAGTAACCCTAAAGAAAATATATAGTGTTAGGCCTTTTGTTCAGGGATCCTGAACTGGCTGTTACTGCTTTTCCATTACAACCCTAAACAGCAGATCGACCATTACCTATGAAAATGTAGTTTTGGATGCCATGGTCGTAGCCAAGAGCTTGTCTTCTCACCCATCCTCCACACCTTTGGGTAGGAGCTTTTCTTTTAAATCATAATGCTATGGAACTTTGGACAATCAACTCTAGAAATCAGTGCAAACACTGTGAATTCCCAGTTGTTCAAAGGTGAAATCAGTGTCCAGGTCTTTAACACTTTTATTCTCTTCCAGCCTAGGAACTGATGAATTTCTGACATTAGCTCCATCACTATAAGGCAGGATGTGTAACTGAAGGATGTCCCAAATAAGGGACTTTCACTAGTTAGTAACAAACTCCTTAAAAAAGAAAGTTTTATTGTCATTTTTACAAGGTAAAGAAGAACCAAAACATGTGGCTCAGGGAAGTTTTAAAAATTGAAAAGCCAATGTTCTGACCCCATCTCTGACCTTCCCCAGTGGACAGATGACTCAGCCTTTCTGGATGTTTTCTTCCTTATCTGTAAACCAAGAAGGTTTCCTTCCAGAGAGATGGCATCTCTATTCTCTGAAATCCATCAGAACACATAAAGGCCAAAACAAAACGTCAACCATGATATTACTAGAGTCACCTCAGTCTCACACCATAAAATAAAAAAAATTCATTCATTCATTCATACATATATATTGCATCTATTCAACAGATGTGCTGTGTACCTCTGAGATGCCAGCACTTTCCTGCATGCCAGGAAATGTAGCTGCCAAATATAAACAAACCTGAGCCAAAAGGAAGGAGAGCACCAAGGTCTAATAGCATTTTCCTATTCAAAGCAGGAACAGATTTAGAAATGAGCATAAGTGTTCCTAGGGGATGGTAGTAAAGAATTTAACTAAGAAAGGTCTGGTCTTTGCCCTCTGCTTCTGGGAGGTAATCTCTAAAGCCCCTGGAATGCCTGATAGGAATGTTTTTGTTTTTCTGTGAACCTCGAGTCATTCCAGATAGTCTAACAGTGTGATTTAAGCAGGGAACTTTGAGTCCCATGGTATCTCAGCTTCATGTTCGGAGGGGGGGCTGGAGACTGTATGGCCAGTCAACCATTCCTAGTGACACAGCCCTGATAAAAGTTCTGCACACTGAAGCCTGGCTGAGCTTCCTCAACTGGCAATATTTTGTGTGTATTATCATACATCATTACTGGGAAAGCAGCACTATTCTTAACCCCGCTGGGAATTCTGCTTGGAACTTTCCTGAACTCTGCCCGTGTGCTACTTCCTGTGGCTGATTGTCATCTGTGTCCTTTCACTGTAACTGGAAGTATACAGTGAGTTCTGAGTACTTTAAATGAATTAGTTTACTTAAGGGGCTTTGAGGAATCCCAAACTTGCAACTGTGAGAGTGAGGATGATCTTGTGAACTACTCATTCCTAATGTTACAGGGTCCTTCTCCATGGATATGGAATAAGGGATGACATGACAAGTAGGAGGTCAGGTTGGAGGAGAGGACTCCTATTATGATTTAGATATGATGTGTTCCCCAAAAGGGTCTTTGGTTGAAGGTTTGGTTGCTGATGGTCATTTGTAAGTGACTGGATCATGAGGGTTCTAACTCAAGACCATGGGATCCTCACCTGATGATATTACTGGGATGGAAACTTAGGAGGTGGGACATACCTAGGTGAAGCAAGTGGATTATGGAGGTGTGACCTTGAGGGCTACATCCGGTCCCTGGCCCATTCCTCTCTGGCTCATTCTCCCTCTGTCTGCTTTCTGGCTGCCATGAGTTGAACAGATCTGCTTCACCATGCCCTTCTGCCATGATGTTCTAATTTACTTCAGCCCCATAGTGGTGGACTCAGCTAACCATGGACTGAAACCTCAGAAGCCATGAGCCAAAATAAACCTTTTCTATTTTAAGTTGACTTTCTCAGGTACTTTGTCAAAGCAATGAAAATCTAACACAACTCCCTAGGCTGTCTTCCTTCTCTATTACTCAGTTCCATGCCTGGGAAATCTCTTGAGATACCCTACTGGTCCTAAAGTTGGTGACTACCAAAGCAAGAGAGTTCCTCTTTCATGGAAGGAGAGGCAAACAAAGGAGGAATGACCAGAAACAATACTTTTAGGGCCTTTTCCATGGCTGTTCACTCCCATCTCTTTTGCAAGCACCAGTCACCTTTGAGGTTGCCATCAGAAACCTGCTCTCTCATGAGAATTTAAGTACATTTAAAATGATGCTTAGGGAAAAAAAAAGGAGAACAGTTCAGAATAATCCACAAACAGGATTCTTGGGCAGTCAATAAGATGGAATAGAATGTTTCATCAAAGACAATGTGTTGGGCCAGGGATTTAACTCAGTGGCACTGCACCTGCCTTGCAAGCACAAGATTCTGAGTTTGATCCCTGATACCAAAAAAAAAAAAAAGGCAATGTGCCTTACCATCCACCTCAAATTTCTCATACTCTGATAATGCACAGAAAAAAAGAAAATGATGGGAAGGACTACAACTACAAATTCTAAAATATTCTAATAGAAGAATTGCTCCAGGAAACTGAAGATATTTTTAGATAAAGCTTCTATGCAGTGTTAAAATTTTAAAGCCTTATTGATTATAATAATATAATATAATAGATAATAAAATAGATAATAAAATCTAACATCTATTGAATATTTACCATGTGCCTAGACACTGTTCTTAATGTTTTGCATGTATTAACCATTTGAAATCCGCAGTATTATTGCTATCTTCATATTACATGGCCTTAAACAGGTTTCCTAAGTTCAATGGTTAGTGGTGTATATGGACTTCAAGCCCACTTGGTTGGCCTGTCAAACTCCATGTATCTTAACTGAAACACTTGAAGGATCTTAACCAAACAGACCATAGTAGAAACTTACATTGATTCCAACAAGAGAAAGCTTAACTGGCTACATTATCTGAATATGATGAAATGGTGTAAGTAGCAATTATTGGAGAATTATTTTTTACCACTCTATCTTAATAAATCTACCATCTGAATGAAATGGACAATTTTCCTAAGAAAATATAATTATTCAAAATGAAAATTTATAAAGAAAGCAAATTCAAATTAATGACAAGAATAAAGACAGGAGAATAAATTGAGAATGAAAATTGTCAGAGTGCCAGGCCTGGAGAGTTTTAAGGGTGAATATTTCAAGAAACATTAATTATGGTGTTTTGCAAATATTCCAGAGCATTAAAAAAGTATGGAACACTTTTTGGGTTCCTTTTCTTCACAAGACCAGCATGATAGTAATTCTAGGAGCCAATAAATGTGACAGATGCACATGTTCACCTGTGCATACACATGGCCCAGGTGTCACCTAGGCTGCTTTGAGCAGCAAGTAACAGAATTCAGCAGTAAAAAGTGGCATTAATGCAAGATCATTTATTACAAAACCTAACAGAAGCTTAGGGGTAGATGTTTTCATTGTTGGGTCAGGCATTTAATGAGTCTCTTAGAGACCACAGTTCCAGGGACTCTGTCCTCATAGGTGATAAGAAAGCAGAAGCAGATAGGTGGGTTACGGAGCCAAAGCTAAGTCCAAAAATCAACTTGTGGGCCCATGCCAACTGGTCATCCACTCCTATTCTGTGTTCTGATGTGCTGATGCCCTGATCTTGTGTCTGTGCTGTACTTATTTTTAAATATTTTGATTATCACCCCTTGAATATACTAAGTATTTTTGAAAATTTAGTATCTTCTAAAATTAGTATCTTAAATCAGCAGGGGAGGTATGGCTTATACAGATATATCTGCTTCATTCTTTAAAATTAAATAAAAGTGATTCCCAGCCTTGCTTATCCTAGTGGCTATGACCAAAAGTTCCAAGATTAAAATGCAGAGGTGGGGGGAGGGACAGAGAACAAGATTACTAAAAGAAAACAGGTATGAATTCTCTTTATAATCTTGGCATAAGAAAGATATTTAAAGCATTATGTAAAATATATACAATAAAGAAAACAACTGATAAAATTGAAAACTTCAAAAAGTGCAAATTTTTTGCATGGAAAAAGGATATCCTAAAAAAAGGCAAAAGTGAAAAAAAAAAATATATATATATATCCTGCAAAAACTTCTTTGTAAAACATCTGACTATAAAGGGCTAAGTTCCCTTTTGTATAAATCATGAGACCTCTTACCAACCAAAGCCCAATAATTAAGACAAAGTACACACCATCGATGATACTTCATTCATATGAATCTCATTCTTACTTTATTTGTTCCTTTGCTCACTAGATAACACCCAATGTCAGCTAGTGTATGGGAAAATGGACACATTCATATGTTTATTAGCATAACTTTTTAGAATGACTTTAGACTTTATTCTAATTTCATCAGTTTTTCCACTAATGTTCTTTTTCTGTTCCAGGTTACAACCCAAGATTCTAGATTACATTTATTATTATTATTATTATTATTATTATTATTATTATTTTGTACCAGGGATTGAACTCGGGTTCTTGCGCTTGCGCAGCAGGCGGCAAAACCACTGAGCTAAATCCCCAGCCCATAGATTACGTTTATTATTGCCTCTTAGTTTCCAATCTGTGGGAGTTCTTCTATCTTTTCCTGTCTCTTGACTCCTAGGTTTTGACTCCAACACCTGCACTCCAACAACTTCATTTGCTGTGACGGGAAAGACTAGTAAGGGACAAAGGAAAAGGACACGACTTGGAGAGCAACTGACAAATACCAGGAGCTTTACTTTGGAATATTATGCTATGATTTGAATGTATCCACCCAAAATACATGTGTTGGAAACAATCCCCAATGCAAAAATATTGGTGGTTGTGACCTAATGAGAAGTGTTTATGTCAGGAGAGCTTCACTCTCATGAATAAACTAATGCCAATTATAATAGGGCTTGAGGCTGCAAGCTTAATCTTTTTTTTTTTTTTTTTTTTGGTACCAGGGATCGAACTTGGGTCCTTGCGCTTGCTCAGCAGGTGGCGAAACCACTGAGCCAAATCCCCAGCCCTGCAAGCTCAATCTTTTGCACTCTCTCATCCATGGAATGTTTTTGCCATGTTATAACGCAGCAAGAAAGTCCTTACCAGTGGCTAGGCAGATGCTAGTGCCGTGCTCTTGGATTTCTCAGCCTCCACACCATGAACTAAATAAGTTTCTATTACTTATATATTACCCAGTCTATTGTATTCTGTAAAGTAGCACAAAGAGACTAATATCTCCACTACGTATCTAGATGATTATGTCAAGAAGGCATGTAAAGCAAGGGGCGACAGTGTAAATAGCATACCTCTATCCATTTTTAAATAATACATATGTATATAATTATATATACCTACATATTCATGAAATAACTAAAAGGATATGTAAAAATCAGTAGTTTTGTCTGGGGATAGGAATTGAATGGCTAAGTGTAAAAGAGAGAATTATTTCCCACTGGTTACTCTGTTGGTACTCTTTGAGTTCTGTACAATGTTCTTGCATAACTCATTAAATAATAACAACAAGCTTAACTGCCTTACTGAAAAACCCCAGTATAGGGAGGCTCTGGAAAGAACAGCCTATGGGGAGTCAGGGAGGAGGATGTCTTTATTGAAATACAGTTCAGCCCTGCCCAGTTTTAGAAATCATTTGTTGTGAATTGCTTGTGAGACTACATTAGTTTGACTTTAAGCCACCCACAAGTGAACTATAAAGACGAAAAGGGGACCATGACAATTGATAGATGACAAGTTCTATCGCCTAAGGTTGGCAGTATTTTCCTGCAGGTCTTCTGCAAGAGGAGTTCTGGGGCCTGGTCTTGTCCTCATTCTGCCACTAGCTAGTGGTGTGATGTGGGACAAGAACTTCCATTCCTCTGAGCCTCACAGAGAAGTGACTAGTTCATAAATTCATTGTTTCATTCATTCTGCCTGAACTGGGGTGTGTGTGTGTGTGTGTGTGTGTGTGTGTGTGTGTGTGTGTGTAAAAACCACCACAGAGCAATAAAAACCAAAGGCTGGTCTAGGGGAATCAGAGAGCAGCACATCAAGGAAACCACAGTAGAGTTGGGTGAAGCCTCTGGAGAATTACCATATCCTCTTTGCTGCCTGAGCCTCGCCAGACTCTTCACCAGGTCTCAGTGAATCACCAACTCACTTCCCACACAGCTCATTGCATGGATGGTGCTGAGGGCCAGTGAGTCTCCTTCAATTCTGCTGAGTCTCCTTTCCTGCATGAACCCCAGTAAGTATATGCTTAATAAGGCAGTGGTGTGTTGGAGTTCTACAGTGCAGGTCATTGAAATCAGCACGGGGACTGCTGGCTTTTATCAAAAGAAAGAACTGAACAGGTAGGGAGGGAAAAGGAAAGGAGAGGAGAAGAGAGGAAAGGAAAGGAAAGGAATACACATACATGTGTAAGTGATGAAGTCCAGAAGATCCTGCTTTGTTAACTTTCAAATTTTTCATGGTACACTTTACTTTATAGAAAATAAACTAAAACACCACTCTGGAGTCTCTGCTGTTCTTTTTAGGAAACAAATATATTTTTATTTAAAAGGTAAGGCATACTTTTACAAAAAGGCAATTTTATTTTTCTAGAAAATATTTAGAAAACATTTGGAAAATATAGAAATATATAATAGAAAAAACAAAACTCATGAAAGAGAAAAAGGTATTCTGTCAGCAAGGGTGTAGATTATTATAGTTGTTTGCAAATGTATCAAGAAAATGTAAAAAAGAAATAAAACAAAACAAAAAAGAAAATGTAGAATCTCTGTTTAATACTAAGCTGATATAAATATTAAATTAACTGTTGTCAATATTAAATATTGATATGCCATCAAGACATCTTATATTCCTCATGAACCTGGGCAGTGGGGAGCTCTAAGACTTCTCAATTCCTATCTGCTCTGGTTTAAGCATACTAACTTCAGTTTGGGAATCCAGGCTTCTGGCAGTCAATCCCCCATGCAGTGTAAATTGCACAGGTGTTGCTCCGACCCTGTCACTACTGAAGGGCTCCTGACCTCTTAGAAATCTAAACTAGCACTCATTGCTGAGGTCTTTGAGCTCAGCAGTTTACTTGTACCCCTCCTCCCAACACTACTGAATTCCCTTCGAGGTACTTGGCTTCCTGTGGGTCCTTTGCTAGCTGCAAACAGGCCACCAAGAACCAGAAAGGCATGGCCCACCAAACTGCCCAGCTCCTGCCAAAGCTGCCTCAGCTTCCTCCATGCTGAAAGTAGCCATAGGTGGCATTCTCCTACATGAAACCCAGGAAAGTAAGGTTCTGGCTCCATATCTCTCAGCTTCTCCAAAGCAATCTGGATGTTGAACTGCATGGCTGGCATATGTGGGGAGGGAAAAATAGGGATCTTGGCACTGCACCTTCTTTTTTTTTTGTATTAAATTATTTTATTGGTACATTGTAGGTATACAACACAATTACATTACTCATTGGGAATTGTACCTTTACATGATGCATCTTGGTTCTTATTTTT